ATTTGTGCATATTGGTGTTTTAAAGAAGCTTTAGAAAAGCTACGTAAACTGTTTTGTTACACCTAAACAGACCTTTCTATACAGTATTTGCAATACAGCTGCGATTCATACCTATATGGCAAAACACACCTAGATTTTCCCTTGTAATTAGTCGCGTTCTAAGGCAACGTTAAGTTATAAATAATTTGCTGCTTACATACGTAGGTACTGTCCTCCAAAACTGAAATTGAGTTGATAAAGTTAACCAAATACTAACATAATATTGTTATTGTTGGCGACAGATCTTCTTTCTTATACTCTTTTTTTATGTAATTTTCATATTTGGAATTAGTTTTGTTTTACTGTCCGCTGTGAATTGCTAACATTGTGTTTAAGATTATAAAATTTTCGCCAAAAATAAGTGCTTTCCCTCCGCCGCTGCCTGCTGCTCATTCCTGCCGCTCGCCTGCTATCGCTTTTAGTTATCAAGTTATAACAAACCAATGTTTCGGGTCCTTCACAGATCCCACGGTCACGGCCGACCGTTTGTATGAAACAAACAAAAATAAAGGTATACACGATTTTAGATCTAAAAAAATAGTTTCATTGATAATAATATTATCTACATTAAATAAATGTATTATTTTGCAAGAATACTTTAAAATACGCTGGTTACGTATTGGGGAGATAATAATATTGTACTCTTCTTTTTTACTTTAGGAAGTGTGATACGTTTTCTGCCTTTCTATTTCAAAGTCAGTTGAACGACGGCTTATCAATAACAAATTGACTATATTATAATTGCTTTGAGATCACTATCACATTAGTGACTTACAATAGAATAACACAAACTTGTTTTTATAACTATCGTTTTGTGTTTCTCAGTCGATTACGACCCTATCATTACGTCTTTCGGTCTTTCACATTTCATTTTTAATTAATAAAGTAATTGTGGTCAAAATGTTACCAATCGCTTTTAGTGATAGTGGAAAATCGTGATTATAAACTTTTGGTCGTTTGATAGTATTGTACTTAGATAAAAGGCAAACAAAATGCAGTCACGTAAAACTCGAGTTTAGCACAAAAATGTACCGTGATGTTCAAACGGTTGTTACAAAACGTTACAAACAAATTTTAAAGAGCAGTTGAAAGTAGTAGTACCAACTCCTTGTGAAAGAGTTCATCTAAGAAAGTACTCCCATACTTGTTTCTACCGTCAAGCAGTAGGTAATATGTTCATTACAGAGTTCCGGTTTTGAAGCGCAAGGGTACCTACTAGTGAAACTGCGGTCACACGGGCAGTACCCCTCAGATCTTTGCGTAGGTGTTTTGCTTACCACACCTTCTTCGTTCCTCGTCCCGTTACTGAATAATCATAATACTTATTATATATACAGGACCCCTTGAAGGGGTGGTTCTTCTCTGATTAACCTTCAATGTAAAGAACTTTTATTATAAAGACCCCCAATTAAATCGTAAAAAAAATGGAAAATATCAACTTTGGGCCGGTTTGATACCAACATTTAAACAGTACAAAGATTTCTTTTCACGGCTTCAGAGAATTCCCCCGTAATAAAACGTTGAACAACTACCTACACGGTTATATAGGATTTTATTATATATATTGACTTTTATTAACTGCCTCTGTGGCATTCAGCCACAGAGGCTATTATGACGGACTGCCACGCAAAGGTTCGATTCCCGGGCGGGAGAAATATTTCTATGGCCTACATTTATTTCTCTCGTGAGTTTGGGTGTAATTTGTGATTGTCAATGTGTGTGTCCATGGCACCCGCGACACAGGGTTTGCCTAGTGCGGGGCTATGTTGAGTATGTGCGTTATTATTATTATATTATTGATGTGTAAAGGCACTCTTTAAAAACGTTTCAAACATTTCGAGATAACTCTGTAAACCTAATCTGCTGTCTTAGTTTACTTGTAGGTATAGGTTCTAATAATGTATTTCACAAGAGTATAATAAATACTCCTCACGACGACTTGATTATATCTAAACTAAAGATAGTCTAGTAATCTGTAGGTAATAGGATTAGTCAATTCGTATCACTGGCATGGAGTGACTAGTCCAATATGCTCCAACGCATCGTTTCGCCACAGCGAATGCTTTGACACTGGATTTAATTCTAAATAGCTCTTAAAATGGATATAAACAAAATGACATATACGGTCTGAAATTGACGATCAAAATCCCACCTACAAGATACGGTAAGGTGAGTTTAGTAGAGTAGGTATGTACAGCATAAAAATATCAATAGTTTCTTGAATCTGCACAACGGCGGCTCATTTTGTTCATCGCAAGTAGGCAACGCAATATTAACTATCACTATCAAACAACCGCTATAAATAAAATAAAAAATACACTAAACATACGATTGTTTGTATATTTTTTAAGCAAACAATTTTAGAACCACTCTCTCATGATCGCAGTGCGCAAGTCTAATTCAGACGACATCGTGTCGCAAGTCTCTGCGTGAGAGCACGCTGCTCTGGTAGGTCTAAAGCTTATAGACCGATGGTTACTTAGGCACAGCGCACACTATTGTTACACACGCAGACTCATCACTGCTGTCAGTCGCTAATGCCATGGTTGAACAAGTTAATTATAATGTGCTAGACTTATATTGCCTAAGGTTTTACGAGCACGTTCCTGTAAATATTTACTCTTCTATGAAGATACATGTTTCTTTTGGATATTACTTTGTTCTATTTATTATACGCTACTCATATTAGGTACGTCTTAGAACGCTCCTTGCGCTTTTCATAGGCATACCAACTGCGTTCAAAATTACATTATGGTTCATAGAGACCACAATAAAGACAACTTTAAGGGATATATTTGGTACTTTATGTGAGTATATTTATTAAGAACGTACAGCAGAATTCCAAAAATGTTACTTAAGACCTAGTATTTCACTTATTTTACATTATTTGTATTCTTGGAAGTTATGAATACCCTCCATCCCTGTCTTTTATTAGATACCATTTATTTGCAAGGTAGGTAACACCTGTTGTTGAGAGTGTGCGTTGAGAGTGTGCGTTACCTTAGAATAATAACGCATTATTCTAAGGGTAACACATAGTTTTCTCTACGTGTTGTGTGAGAAATCTATTTCTTTTTTTTCTATTTCGCGCTCGGACACTTCTATTGCCATATCCAACAAAAACGTAAATATGTGTGGGTAGGTATCACGTAGGAATACTTATTTTAATTTTGGATATGTTTCGGATCAACAGTATCATTTGTATTCTTGGAAGCTATGAACTTGCCCTCCATCTCTCTTATTTATTTCAATAGTATTACATAATGAATAAGTAATGTGCCAGACAACCACACCAATTAGGTACCTGGTCTCTAACTAGGGAATTTCCTGTATTATGAGTAGTTACCTGAGATTTCACTCCGGGACACTACCCAGAACACCCAAACCAGAACCAATTCACAAAAGTTCATTTCCCCAAATTGGTCCTACCGGGAATCAAACCCGGGACCTCCTCGTCTGGTGTTTACAGTGCAAACCGTTGGATGACCAAGGTACTCAATTGTATTTTTATACTGTCCCACATGCAACCCTATAATTAGTGACACCACATTAACATTAAAAAAAATGTGACGTATATACGAATAAGTAAAAACTTTTGTAAAGAAACAGAACCATTTAAATACTTTTCAAATTTAATTTTATTATATCATTTCTTCCAATATATTATAACTGGATGACTACTTTTTTTTTATGAGACAAACTGACGGGACGAACAAGGCGTCCACCTGGTGGTAAGTGACACGCCTGTCCATATCAGTTGCAGTACCACTCAGTGCTTTAAATTGCAAAGATCTGAGGGGCACTACCACTCCACCCGACACCCAGAGACATCAGTTGTAATTGCACCAGCACCCTTACCCTTCATAACTGGAACGCAGTAATGCTCACATTACTGCATGACGACAGAAATAGGTAAGATGGCAGTACTTCCCTGGACGAACTCTTTCACAAGGAGTTCTACTTATTAACACGGGCTCTCTCTAGACCAGTGTCAGTGTTACTTTTTTATTCTCTACTAGTTTAGAGCACTATTTAGAGCGTCACAGGTCCATACAATAGTAACCACGGAAGAATATGTGGTCTGTGGTAGTAGTAACCTTGTATGTTATTCGATGCGGTCATTAATATGAAAGAACACGCGAATTTGAAATTAAAACACACATTATTACGTGTCAAGTAAGCGATTATTTGTGTATCCATATCATTTGTAGAGATGAATTTTGGTTTTTGAAATATGACTTTGTAGAAAAAATATGTAACCTTACAGCAGGATTTTTTATAGAGAATTTAATGATCGTGTTTGTATAAATATATAATTGACAAATGCATGCAATTAGCTTAAACCCCACTATGTGATTCCTTTGTATGGGAATGACACATAAATCATAAGCAGTTTTCCTTTTAACCAAATAGAAATAATGAAGAATTTTGTTTAAACAAAACTATCGTCTAATACCTACGTAGATCTAAGAAAGGGCTGAATACAATGATCTTGAAAAAATATGTTTAGGATATTACTATTTTAAACCAACTTAAAAAACAGCAGGAAGAGCTGCTCAATTCGACTGTGTTCTTTTTTTGTATGTATGTTACGCGACAAGTCGATAATTTGTGAACCGATTTTGATGATTTTTTTTTATGTTGGAAAAAGAGTACTTCGGTGATGGTCCCATATAAATTTGAAGAACCTATTCCACCTCTAAGAGTGGCTAACTAGGGGATTAATCCGGTTTCGCGCACTTTTCGGTGACCGTTTTCAATAAAACTTGGCAAATAGATGTAATACCACGAACTTTTGAGGTGGGTTTTTTTATTACTCTGTACTAAGATTATTCAAACACCAAAATTAACAAACTGTACAGAAAGGAACTGGTACCTAAATAAACTTAATATGTTATATGTTCATACCGAAAGGTTCCACTTAAACCAAAAACTTATCAAAGATTTTTTTTATTTTCCAGAAACCATCAAGCAAGCAATACAGAAGCCTGTGTAGTCTTTTAATCCTGGTGGTTCACATGTCTGCGCATGCGTCAGCCGGCTCACAATTCTCGTCGCATATTTCCGTAAATACGCCAGCGAGAAGTTACACACATGGCGTCGGAGACCCGTTACCTGTTGGGAGAGGAGCCACCTACCACCAGAAGCCTAACCAGAATAAGCCTTCTTTTAGAACTTTAAGACGTTAGTTTAGCTTTTCGTACGCTTGAGGTATCTTTTCTGTAACTTATTCACAACTCATATACGACCCATTATTGGACAAGGAGCAGATTTTGTATGTATTAAAACAATAAAACAAAGGACAAAGAAGTTAAAGGAGAATTAGCGAGGAAAGAATTAAGGGTCGTATTCTAGAACTCTACTCAATGCTCAAGTCAGGACTTGAGTATGATTCAAAGCACTAGAAATCATACTCAAGTCCTTGCCATTAGGGTCGTATTTCCAGTGCTTGAAATCATACTCAAGTCTGCTGAAATCCTGATTTGAGCATTGAGTAGAGTTGTGAAATACGACCCTAAGAGTTGAATTATCGATTATAATTAAGGTACCGTATAACGCCTAGTTAAAAGTGCCTACAGATATAATCTACATTGTCGATCGACAACGAGACGATTTGATTTTATAGACGTTTTGGAGTTGTTTGGGAGTGCTTATTGAGAATGTGGCATTAATCTGTAAATCCAAGATAGTTGCCAAGAATTTTCAAAAATTTATTTTTGGTAATCCTTATGGAAATGGCATTTATATCTGAATACATGATGGCTGACACGATTTTTCAAATAATGGCAAGTTGGGTATCGTTTTCGAGATATTAGGGTGTGCTCATTACGTATGTGACTCTCATTTCTAAATCCAAGATGG